GACTAGGGCTGTGGCGGTCACAAAATTTTGTCAGCCGGTGATTGTCAATGAAATAACTGTCGGTCTCATGGTAATTGACCGTCAATGAACAAACACATTTAGCATCTCCTGGCTTCCACACATAGCCTACAAGCCACTGATGCAGACCTTGGGAACATCTACATTTTAAAAAGTCTAATAAATCCATGTAATATAGCCCACACCTTCACAATAAATCCATTATTTATTTTAGACAGGTCTAAAGAAGCATGATATGAACAAAATGTAGTCTATTTCAGAAGAAAATAATAGCATACTCTGTTGTCCTTAGGTCCTGATGTGGCTATGCCAAATGGCTGTGGGCTACACTAGTTCATTTAGCAGACAAGATTTGCTTAGAATTCCGTGGCATATTTTTTATATTATTTTATTGTATGAAGAATACAATTGAACAAAGCTGAATAAAATATAAATACCTTCTCCAAACGATTTGAGGGTAGTGCGCACATGTGGCTATTCTGTGTTGAGCAGTTAACAAAGAAATAGGTACTCCTATATGCTTAATTTAGAGTTATTAATATAACTTTAGTTGTTCTGCAAACGTCGGGCTATATGTTTTGATTTTTAATAAATTGTAAGGCTGCATGATGAGACTAATGATGATTTGAAAAAAGTTGCTTGAAAGGCATGAGCTCTGCTTTGTTTTTTTGTGCAGGCTGTACACACTCCAATAGTCTCTCATTCACAATTTGACAAGCACTTGATAATGCCGTAATGCACCCTAAAAAAAATCCATGCCTTTTGCAGCCCAGAGTTGTGCCCTTCTCCTTGAGTGCTGCGCAATCTGAAGCGCCTCTCACTCGCATGGCTCTAAATCACATGATTGGGTCTTTCTCTCAGGCTACAAGTGAAGACAGACACATCGGGGATGCAACTACGTGCGTCCTTCTCCAATTCCAAGGTGCATATTGAAGATATTGGAAGAACTGTCCACATTTACTTTTCGTCAGCCAACAAGATGAGTAGGCCTAATGAACAGCAAAAGCACTAGCCTATGTCAATCTACTATCCCCCACAGTACAAAAGTCGACCTATTCTATTCTGTGCAAGAAATAAATATTCCAAACATAGTCTGGGACAGTTGTGGGGTGCAATAGATCCCAAATTAATACAACCACTAGCATCAAAAAAACATTTTCAGAACGTTTAGCTTAAAATATTTATAAACTATTAGGCTATTTCTTCACATTATAAGCGCAGCAATGCACACATGGCAGTAGGCTATAAGCGCAAATGTTCCATTAGCGGGAAAACACCATTATCAAAAGTGACCGCAAATACGATTTTGCATATAATGCTTTTATTATAAAGGTGCATTTTTATGGTGAAAATTACCTTCCCCAAACTTTAAACTCACGCGCTGTTTATGTATGCCAGTTAGGCTCGAAACTCCTTGTAAAGTGGATTCATGTGCTTAATTTTAAGAAGTTATTTGGCGACTTTATTTGTGATACAAACCTTATCAAAACATATAGGCCTATGGGCTACGCTACATGAGGTGTGCAACTATGATTAGAAAAAGTCGTTAAAAAAAAAAGAGGCAGTTTCTTATGCTGGGCATCATTCACAAGTGATAATATATATTTCACAGGTGATAGGCTAATATTGTTACTCAGACTATTCTTGATTTAATCTTTACATATACTAAATAACATGTGTGAAATTTGTTTTGATTTAGAATGGACCATTATCATGCACCTGTCTTGAAATAGAGGCAGCGGGAAAAAATACATGTAATCTATGCACTTAAATAGCGAATGGAGGACGCTTTTCCTGTGGTTCATTTTCATGCCAGCCAGGTAGGCTATACTCCTGTTGTAAAGATAAAGAATGTGCTTATTAGAAAAGTTTAGAAATAAATATAGTAGGCCTAGTCTATAGAAAGATCCCCCTCTTTTTAGTTGAGGCCATCACTCGGTTTTCTTGCGCAAGTGCATAGCCTATAGAAATGTTGCGCAACATGAGCTCATGGGCTCTCATGAAGTGTTGAATTAGATTTTCGATATCATTTGCATTGATGTAAGAGTGATTACAGGGACAATAGTGCTGAGTACCAGGCAGATTGCAAGTTTGGTAGGCTACTAATGACCAGCAGCAGCATCAGAGTTTGGAGAAGCCTAATTACCATGACTAAACGGTAACATGGAATTTGACTGCCTTCATGACTCGTGACCGCCGGTGTGGCGGTAATACAGTCACCGCAACAGCCCTAATATTGACTCAATGTGTTGCTAGCAAATCCCGCGATCAGTTATCAAAACTCAACTCCGCCTTGATATAAGAGAACGGAGTTGACCGTTCCTCAGCTATCTTCATCCAAGCTCGGGCGGCAGGTAGCCTAGCGGTTAAGAGTGTTGGGCCAGTAACCAAAAGTTTGCTGGTTCGAATACCCGAGCTGACTAGGTGAAAAATCTGTAGATGTGCCCTTGAGCAAGGCACTTAACCCTAATTGCTCCTGTAAGTCACTCTGGATAAGAGCGTCTGCTAAATGACTCAAATGTAAAATGTAAGTTAAACTGGTACATGTTTCCCTCATGAGAAACCCATTTTATCCATCAACTGACACAGACTGCATTCTCATGGCAGCGCAACCCAAATGGGAAAAATGCAGTCCCACTTTATGAAGTTGCACAGATACCATGCAACTACATGGCATCTTTACTTTTTGGTGTTACATGTCAATACACAGTAACTCATTTGAAACCATAGGCTACTTATCCAGTTTCCATTCAGTATAATTATAGTTTCATATAGTGTATCTGCATATTATTCAGCTGAGTAATAATCTCATTCTGGTCACTGACATAGCTGTAGAGGAACTAGATGGCATTTCATAGAGGAACTATATGGCATAATGCCCGGGGCGGCAGGTAGCTTAGTGGTTAAGAGCGTTGTGCCAGTAACCGAAAGGTCGCTGGTTCTAATCCCCGAGCAGACTAGGTGAAAAATCTGTCGATGTGCCCTTGAGCAAGGCACTTAACCTTAATTGCTCCTGTAAGACGCTCTGGATAAGAGCGTCTGCTAAATTACTAATTATTTTATTATTATTATTATTATATAATCAGGAGAAATAAATGTCACCCACGACATAGAGCAAGTACAAATACATTCCTATTCAATTCAACCATGCATTCATGTCTTACTTTACGGTGTCTATGTTACTGTAAATCATATTGACATGTTTATATGCACTTAAGTTAAAGTCCCCCTCCAGATATTTTGGAACTTTTCCAAAAACGATATCCAGAGTAGAACCACTGTAATATACACATATGACATTTAAAGGGATACTTCAGGATTTTGGCAATGAAGCCCTTTATTTACTTCACCAGAGTCAGATGAACTAGTGGATACAGTTTTTGTCTTTGCGTGCAGTTTGAAGGAAGTTGCTAACTAGGACTAGCTCAATTGCTAACTAGCGTTAGTGCAATGACTGGAAGTCTATCGGTATCTGCTAGCACATACCCACTGACTTCCAGTCATTGCGCTAACGCTAGTTAACATTGGCTAGCAAAACGACCTCTAACTTCCTTCATACTGGACACAGAGACATACACTACATGACAAAGTATGTGGACACCTGCTCGAGGAGTTGGTCCCCCCTTTGATACAATAACAGCCTCCACTCTTCTGGGAAGGCTTTCCACTAGATGTTGAAACATTGCTGCGGGGACTTGCTTCCATTTCAGCCACAAGAGCATTAGTGAGGTCGGCGATTAGTCCTGGCTCGCAGTCGGTGTTCCAATTCATCCCAAAGGTGTTCAATGGGGTTGAGGTCAGGGCTCTGTGCAGGCCAGTCAAGTTCTTCCACACCGATCTCGACAAACCATCTCTCTTTGGACCTCGCTTTGTGCACGGGGGCATTGTCATGCTGAAACAGGAAAGGGCCTTTCCAAAACTGTTGCCACAAAGTTGGAAGCACAGAATCGTCTAGAATGTCGTTGTATGCTGTAGCGTTAAGATTTTCCTTCACTGGAATTAAGGGGCCTAGCCCGAACCACAAAAAACAGCCCCAGACCATTATTCCTCCTCCACCAAACTTTACAGTTGGCACTATGCAGTCGGACAGGTAGCGTTCTCCTGGCATCCGCCAAACCCAGATTCGTCCGTCGGACTGCCAGATGGTGAAGCGTGATTCATCACTCCAGAGAACGCGTTTCCACTGCTCCAGAGTCCAATGGCGGCGAGCTTTACACCACTCCAGCCGACGCTTGGCATTGCACATGGTGATATTAGCCTTGTGTGCGGCTGCTCGGCCATGGAAACCCATTTCATGAAGTTCCCGAACAACAGCTCTTGAGCTGACTTTGCTTCCAGAGGCAGTTTGTAACTCGGTAGTGAGTGTTACAACCGAGGACAGACTATTTTTACGCACTACAGCAATCGGCAGTCCCGTTCTGTGAGCTTGTGTGGCCTACCACTTTGCTGCTGAGCCTTTGTTACACCTTGACGTTTCCACTTCACAATAACAGCACTTATAGTTGACCGGGAAAGCTCTAGCAGGGCAGTTTGACGAGCTGACTTGTTGGCAAGGTGGCATCCTACGACGGTGCCATTTTGAAAGTCACTGAGCTCTTCAGTACAGGCCATTCTACTGCCAATGTTTGTCTATGGAGATTGCATGGCTGGGTGCTCGATTTTCTTCACCTGTCAACAACGGGTGTGGCTGAAATAGCTGAATCCACCAATTTGAAGGGGTATCCACATACTTTTGTATATATAGTGTATATGCCAAAATACCGAAGTATCCCTTTAAGCATCAATAAATAAATGTGGAGCAAAATAGCGATATTTCTTATAAAGTGCCATGGCATGTCCGGCATACTTATAATAATAATAATAATATGCCATTTAGCAGACGCTTTTATCCAAAGCGACTTACAGTCATGCGTGCATACATGTTGTTTTCTTTGTGTACTTGTGGTGGGAGGGCGGCTGGGCTGTGCATTTACCTTCAGACTCTAGTTCCAGATCTTGAGGAAGCTGTCCCAGGACCCTGTTGCCACGGCCATGCCGTCGTCAGTCACACCCAAGCAGCTGACACGGTTGTCATGTCCAGCCAGGACACCTAGCGACAGAGCAGGGTCAGCGGTTAGAAGTCAGACCATGACATCATTTCACAACACGGTTAGTCAACGCCACACACTCTATTCACTCAGTTTGACCCTTAATAAATGATTCCATTAAAGACCTGGCTGTGTACTAGTTCTATTTTATTGTACACTGGAAAACTCAGTTACTAGAAAATGTTGCTAGTACAAGTGTGTGTTTGTGTGTGGCAGACCCAGCCCATACCTTGCTTCTCTGATCCAGACCACGTATGTAATCAATAGCACTGAAGTATTCATGCCTCTGTGGGAGCAGATCAACTGCTGGAGCAGGCTAAACAGCAGGGGCTGCATCCACAAACCCTGCGGCTGTACAAACTAGTCTTCACTTGTACAATCGCTGTCATGGATTTAACAGTGAAAACTCCCTCTAGCCAATGCTTACACCAGTCCTATGCTTTTGAATCAACGACAGGAAGTCTAAGTGCACAATTCTGGAAATGGGTGGATAATTGGGAATCCTCCTGTTCAATCTGCTCTATAGCCTCTATCCAGTAATGCTGCATGTCTGAAGTATCCCTGCTGTGCTTGAGGAACTAGCCTGGCTACAAAAATGACCCATGAGTGGCCGCAGACGGTACCACCGATGTGCTCAACTCAAGTAACCCTGCTGTCATCTGATACCTACTGGACCCCAGTCATTTCTGTACCACGGAGACCACTAGGCGCTCTAAATCAATGTCCCTTGGGGACTCCTCACACATCACTACTACCGTAGAATCACACCTAGTAGATGATCTAGTCCATTTCAACCCCCTCCCCCCCTCCATTGTACCCCCGACTTTTGTCATCACAGTCGCCTCAAAGTTTGACGACGTTGCCCATAGATTATAGGGTCAGTTTAGCGTCCCCCCCCCCTAACCATTAAGGTTAGGATTTGGGAGTACTGTGCCCTGATCCTAGACATGTGGTTTGGGCATTTTTTTTAACCCCTCACACCCGCCTGCCGGTCACCTGCACGGTCGGCCTTGAGGCTGTCCCACACGTTGCAGTTGAAGTCGTCGTAGCCGGCGAGCAGCAGGCGGCCGCTCTTGGAGAACGCCACTGAGGTGATGCCACAGATGATGTTGTCATGGGAGTAGACCATCAGCTCCTGGTCGGCGCGCAGGTCAAACAGCCTGCAGGTGGCGTCGTCCGAGCCTGTGGCAAAGGCGTTGCCATTGGGGAAGAACTGGGAGGGAGGTAAAGAGGAGAGAGGGAGAGAGAAAGAGAGAGGGGGAGATAAAGTGTGAGGTTTGGTCTGATAATACCTTCCTCATCGGTCTACGTGTGGTGTGTGTAATGAGCTAGTTCATAATGGCTGCCATGGCATTATCAAGGTGGGTGCTATACATTGGTAGTGACTTCACCCTTTCATAATGCCAGGTCGCAGTTGTAAATGAGAACTTGTTCTCAACTGGCTTACCTGGTTAAATAAAGGTGAAATAAATAAAATACATAAAAAAATGTAAAGGGCTTGGTATTGACGAAGTGACCATGCATACTAAATATGCAATGGACAATAGATATGGATGTATCGGGTCCAGATTCACGCTTCTACACGTATCACATAAACCACCCTTAAGCATGCTAGTGTGTATACAATGTCCATACTAAAGTCTCTGTATGTCTGAATGCAAAAGAAAGCCCGCTGCCGAAACGCTAGTGACAAAAGATACTGACATCGCCGGTTAGTGTGCGGCTCCGTTTAGAATCGAAGTGTAGCTACACAGGTTGACCGGCAGTCGGATCGTGTGATTGGCTTACACAGATGGCATTAATGTCCGACTCGTGCCCGGTGAAGGTCTGTCGGCACATTCCTTCTCTGATGTCCCAGAGCTTGGCGGAGGCGTCGCATGCCCCGGACACAAACAGCCGGGTGTCGGGCGCCAGCGACAGGCTCATGACGTCACCAGTGTGGCCGGCGAATGTGGTCGTCTGCTGGCCCGTCTCAATGTCCCAGAGAGCACTGGGGGAAGGAGAGGGGCAGGGAGAGAGAAGAGGACAAAAAAACGTTTGAGTGGAGTTTGGAGTGACTTTTCTGTCATACTCTTGGGTTGCATTCAGATTCCCGCCTTTGCGTTTAACCTCAATTTTATCAAACAACAGTGTAGAACTGGCATATCCACTCAGTGAACATGGGATGGGGAGGCAGGCAGGCACAGTTCCCCCACTCACCATGTGGTATCTCCAGAGCTGGTGACGATCTGGCTGTCATCAACGAAGCGACAGCAGGACAGGTAACCTGGAGGCCACAGCAGAATAAACAGTCAGTCAGTCATCCAGACAGTCAGCACTTAGAAGCAGTCACAAAACACAGGGGAAATGGTCTAAAGACAAAAGGAGGAACTACATTACAGGCCTTGACCCAGTATGTACATTATAGGCCTTACCACCGAAAGGGTACAATACAAATGAAGACTGTCTAGGAAATGAATGTGTGCAAGTACAACAGAACCCACTCAATAACACAAACATGCCTTTTCACAGTGAGCTGACAGACACGGTCCTGTCATGTCCTGACACTGAAATCAGTGGTATTGAAAGCATCCAATACTTCCAAGGTACTGGTTAAAAATTGTAAATCTAGTGCATAAACAATACCCCTTTTGCAAACTGATTGTTGACCATGGTCATTCCTGTGTTACAGGTGAGCTTGCCGTGTGTGTTTGTATGTACAGTGCCTTTAGAAAATACTCACACCCCTTGACTTTTTCCACATTATGTTGTGTTACAGACTGAATTTAAAATGGATTACATATAGATTTTTTTTGTCACTGGCCTACCCCATAATGTCAAAGTGGAATTCATTTTTTCAACATTTTTACAAAATAATTAAAAATGAAAACGCTGAAATGTTTTGACTCAATACGTTTCAACCCCTTTGTTCTGGCAAGCCTAAATACAGTGCATTCGGAACGTATTCAGACCCCTTCCCCTTTTCCACATTTTGTTACGTTACAGCCTTATTCTAAAATGGATTAAATAAATGTTTTTCCTGATCAATCTACACACAATACCCCATAATGACAAAGCAAAAACATGTTTAGACATTTCTATTTACATAAGTATTCAGACCCTTTGCTATGAGACTTGAAATTGAGCGCAGGTGCATCCTATTTCCATTGATCATCCTTGAGATGTTTCTACAACTTGATTGGAGTCCACCTGTGGTAAATTAAATTGATTGGACATGATTTGGAAGGGGCACACGTCTACAGTGGGGGGAAAAAGTATTTAGTCAGCCACCAATTGTGCAAGTTCTCCCACTTAAAAAGATGAGAGAGGCCTGTAATTTTCATCATAGGTACACGTCAACTATGACAGACAAATTGAGAAAAAAAATTCCAGAAAATCACATTGTAGGATTTTTAATGAATTTATTTGCAAATTGTGGTGGAAAATAAGTATTTGGTCACCTACAAACAAGCAAGATTTCTGGCTCTCACAGACCTGTAACTTCTTCTTTAAGAGGCTCCTCTGTCCTCCACTTGTTACCTGTATTAATGGCACCTGTTTGAACTTGTTATCAGTATAAAAGACACCTGTCCACAACCTCAAACAGTCACACTCTAAACTCCACTATGGCCAAGACCAAAGAGCTGTCAAAGGACACCAGAAACAAAATTGTAGACCTACACCAGGCTGGGAAGACTGAATCTGCAATAGGTAAGCAGCTTGGTTTGAATAAATCAACTGTGGGAGCAATTATTAGGAAATGGAAGACATACAAGACCACTGATAATCTCCCTCGATCTGGGGCTCCACGCAAGATCTCACCCCGTGGGGTCAAAATGATCACAAGAACGGTGAGCAAAAATCCCAGAACCACACCTAGTGAATGACCTGCAGAGAGCTGGGACCAAAGTAACAAAGCCTACCATCAGTAACACACTACGCCGCCAGGGACTCAAATCCTGCAGTGCCAGACGTGTCCCCCTGCTTAAGCCAGTACATGTCCAGGCCCGTCTGAAGTTTGCTAGAGTGCATTTTGATGATCCAGAAGAGGATTGGGAGAATGTCATATGGTCAGATGAAACCAAAATATAACTTTTTGGTAAAAACTCAACTCGTCGTGTTTGGAGGACAAAGAATGCTGAGTTGCATCCAAAGAACACCATACCTACTGTGAAGCATGGGGGTGGAAACATCATGCTTTGGGGCTGTTTTTCTGCAAAGGGACCAGGACGACTGATCCGTGTAAAGGAAATAATGAATGGGGCCATGTATCGTGAGATTTTGAGTGAAAACCTCCTTCCATCAGCAAGGGCATTGAAGATGAAACGTGGCTGGGTCTTTCAGCATGACAATGATCCCAAACACACCGCCCGGGCAACGAAGGAGTGGCTTCGTAAGAAGCATTTCAAGGTCCTGGAGTGGCCTAGCCAGTCTCCAGATCTCAACCCCATAGAAAATCTTTGGAGGGAGTTGAAAGTCCGTGTTGCCCAGCGACAGCCCCAAAACATCACTGCTCTAGAGGAGATCTGCATGGAGGAATGGGCCAAAATACCAGCAACAGTGTGTGAAAACCTTGTGAAGACTTACAGAAAACATTTGACCTGTGTCATTGCCAACAAAGGGTATATAACAAAGTATTGAGAAACTTTTGTTATTGACCAAATACTTATTTTCCACCATAATTTGCAAATAAATTCATAAAAAATCCTACAATGTGATTTTCTGGATTTTTTTTTCTCATTTTGTCTGTCATAGTTGACGTGTACCTATGATGAAAATTACAGGCCTCTCTCATCTTTTTAAGTGGGAGAACTTACACAATTGGTGGCTGACTAAATACTTTTCCCCACTGTATATAAAAAGTCCCACAGTTGACAGTGCATGTCAGAGCAAAAACCAAGCCATGAGGTCAAAGGAATTGTCCTTAGAGCTCCGAGACAGGATTGGGTCAAGGCACAGATCTGGGGAAGGGTACCAAAACATTTCTGCAGCATTGAAGGTCCTCAAGAACACAGTGACCTCCATCATTCTTAAATGGAAGAAGTTTGGAACCACCAAGACTATTCCTAGAGCTGGCCGCCCGGACAAACGGAGCAATCGGGGGAGAAGGGCATTGGACAGGGAGGTGACCAAGAACCCAATGGTCACTCTGACAGAACTCCATAGTTCCTCTGTGGAGATGGGAGAACCTTCCAGAAGGACAACCATCTCTGCAGCAATCCACCAATCAGGGCTTTATGGTAGTGGCAAGACGGAAGCCACTCCTCAGTAAAAGGCACGACAGCCCGCTTGGAGTCTGTCGAAAGGCACCTAAAGGACTCTCAGACCACGAGAAACAAGATTCTCTGGTCTGATGAAACCAAGATTGAACTCTTTGGCCTGAATGCAAAGCGTCACGTCTGGAGGAAATCTGGCACCATCCCTACTGTGAAGCACGGCGGTGGCAGCATCATGCTGTGGGGATGTTTTTCAGCGGCAGGGAGACTAGGCAGGATCGAGGGAAAGATGAACGGGGCAAAGTACAGAGATTTCCTTGATGATAACCTGCTCCAGAGCGCTCAGGACCTCAGACTGGGGTGAAGGTTCACCTTCCAACAGGACAACTACCCTAAGCACACAGCTAACACAACACAGGAGTGGCTTCGGGACAAGTCTACGAATGTCCTTGAGTGGCCCAGCCAGAGCCCGGACTTGAACTCGATCGATCATCTCTGGACAGACCTGAAAATAGCTGTGCAGCGATTCTCCCCATCCAACCTGACAGAGCTTGAGAGGATCTGAAGAGAAGAATGGGAGAAACTCCCCAAATACAGGTGTGCCAAGCTCGTAGCATCATACCCAAGAAAACTTGAGGCTGTAATCACTGCCAAAGGTGCTTCAACAAAGTACTGAGTAAAGGGACTGAATACTTATATAAATATGATATTTCAGTTTTTGCTAAAATTTCTAAAAGCCTGTTTTTACTTTGTCATTATGGGGTATTGTGTGTAGAATGATGAGGGGAGAAAAAACCGATTTAATCCATTTTAGCATAAGGTTGTAAAGTAACAAAATGTGGAATAAGTGAAGTGGTCTGAATACTCACCGAATGCACTAGGTTCAGGAGTAGAAATGTGCTTAACAAGTCACATAATAAGTTGCATGGACTCACTATGTGTGCACTAATTGTGTTTAACATGATTTTTGAATGACTACCTTTTCTCAGTCGAGCAATGAATTTCAAAACTCAGATTCAACCACAAAGACCAGGGAGGTTTTCCAATGCCTCGCAAAGAAGGACATCTATTGGTAGATAGGTAAAAAAATGAAAACGACATTGAATTTCCCTTTGAGCATGGTGTATCAATACACCCAGTCACTACAAAAATACAGACATACTTCCTAACTCAGCTGCCAGCGAGGAAGAAAACCGCTCAGGGATTTCAACAAGAGGCCAATGGTGACTTTAAAACAGTTACAGAGTTTAATGGCTGTGATAGGAGAAAACTGAGGACGGATGAACAACATTGTAGTTACTCCACAATAATAACCTAATTGACAGTGAAAATAAGGACATCCTGTTTGCAACAAGGCAGTAAAGTAATACTGCAAAAACTGTGGCAAAGTAATTCACTTTTTGTCCTGAATACAAAGTGTTATGTTTGGGGCAAATCCAACACAACACATTAATGAGTACCACTCTCCATATTTTCAAGCATAGTGGTGGCGGCTGCATCCTGTTATGGGTATGCTTTGAATCGTTAAGGACTGGGTAGTTTTTCAGGATAAAAAAGAAACCGAAAGGAGCTAAGCACAGACATAATCTTAGAGGAAAACCTAGTTCAGTCTGCTTTCCACCAGACACTGGTAGATTAATTCAACTTTCAGTAGGACAATAACCTAAAACACAAGGCCAAATCTACACCGGAGTTGCTTACTAAGAAGACAGTGAATGTTCCTGAGTGGCCGAGTTACAATTTTGACTTAAATCTACTTGGAAATCTATAGCAAGACCTGAAAATGGTTGTCTAGCAATGATCAACAACCAATTTGAGAGAGCTCGAAGAATTGTATAAAGAATAAATGGGCAAATGCTGCACAATCCAGGTGTGGAAAGCTCTTAATCGCTACCAAAGGTGCTTCTACAAAGTGTGAATACTTGTGTAAATTAGATATATTTATTTCATTTTCACTAAATTAGCAGAACATTTCTAAAAACATGTTTTCACTTTGTCATTATAGGGTATTGCGTGTAGATGGGTGAGGGGGGAAAAAACAATTTGATCCATTTTGAATACAGGCTGTATCAACAATGTGGAATAAATCAAGGGGTATGAATACTTTCTGAAGGCATTGTATATATACTGTGGTAGCGTTGTGGTGACTACCGTACCTGTGTGTCCAGCCAGCTCACGGCTGACACGCACGTTCCCCTCGCGTGTCTTGAGGTTGTAGATGGAGCAGATGTTGTCCAGGCCTCCACAGGCCACGTAGTTCCCAGATGGTGCATAAGCGCACGTCATAACCCAGGAGGAGCGCAGTGGGATGGCGTGGACCTGAGGGAAACCAGGTGGACGAGGGAGCATGGAGTTAGAGAGGGAGCATGGCTCCGGGTCTGATTGATTCCCGCATGGACAACATTTACTGGGTAGCCAAGCTTCTATCATGCACTATATGACCAAAAGTATGTGGACACCTGCTCGAACATCTCATTCCAAAATCATTGGCATTAATATGGAGTTGGTCCCCCCTTTGCTGCTATAATAGCCGTCACTTTTTTATTCTTTATTTCATTTCACCTTTATTTAACCAGGTAAGCCAGTTGAGAACAAGTTCTCATTTACAACTGCGACCTGGCCAAGATAAAGCAAGGCAGTGCGATAAAAACAACAGAGTTACATATGGAATAAACAAAAAGTACAGTCAATAACACAATAGAAAATCTATATACAGTGTGTGCAAATGTAGTAAGTTATGGAGGTAAGGCAATAAATAGGCCATAATGCAAAATAATTACAATTTAGTATTAACACTGGAGTGATAGATGTGCAGAAGATGATGTGCAAATAGAGATACTGGGGTGCAAATGAGCAAAATAAATAATGTAAATAACAATATGGGGATGAGGTAGTTGGGTGGGCTAATTACAGATGGGCTGTGTTCGGTGCAGTGATCGGTAAGCTGCTCTAACAACTGATGCTTAAAGTTAGTGAAGGAGATGAGTGTCTCCAGCTTCAGAGATTTTTGCAGTTCGTTCCAGTCATTTGCAGCAGAGAACTGGAAGGAATGGCGGCCAAAGGAGGTGTTGGCTTTGGGGATGACCAGTGAAATATACCTGCTGGAACGCATACTACAGGTGGGTGTTGCTATGGTGACCAATGAGCTAAGATAAGGCAGGGATTTGCCTTTGACAAAACGGATGGCACTGTGATAGACTACATCCAATTTGCTGAGTAGTGTTGGAAGCTATTTTGTAAATGACATCCCCGAAGTCAAGGATCGGTAGGATAGTCAGTTTTACGAGGGCATGTTTAGCAGCATGAGTGAAGGAGGCTTTGTTGCGAAATAGGAAGCCGATTCTAGATTTAACTTTGGATTGGAGATGCTTAATGCGAGTCTGGAAGGAGAGTTTACCGTCTAACCAGACACCTAGGTATTTGTAGTTGTCCACATATTCTAAGTCAGACCCGCCGAGAGTAGTGATTCTAGTCGGGCGTGCGGGTGCAAGCAGCGTTCGATTGAAGAGCATGCATTTAGTTTTACTAGCGTTTAAGAGCAGTTGGAGGCCACGGAAGGAGTGTTGTATGGCATTGAAGCTCGTTTGGAGGTTTGTTAACACAGTATCCAATGAAGGGCCAAATGTATACAAAATGGTGTCGTCTGCATAGAGGTGGATCTGAGAGTCACCAGCAGCAAGAGCGACATCATTGATATACACAGAGAATAGAGTCGGCCCGAGAATTGAACCTTGTGGCACCCCCATAGAGACTGCCAGAGGTCTAGACAACAGGCCCTCCGATTTGACACATTGAACTCTATCTGAGAAGTAGTTGGTGAACCAGGCGAGGCAGTCATTTGAGAAACCAAGGCTATTTAGTCTGCCAATAAGAATGCGGTGATTGACAGAGTCAAAAGCCTTGGCCAGGTCGATGAAGACGGCTGCACAGTACTGTCTTTTATCGATCGCGGTAATTATATCGTTTAGGACCTTGAGCGTGGCTGAGGTGCACCCATGACCAGCTCGGAAACCAGATTGCATAGCGGAGAAGGTACGGTGGGATTCGAAATGGTCAGTGATCTGTTTGTTAACTTGGCTTTCAAATACTTTCAAATGGCAGGGCAGGATGGTTATAGGTCTGTAACAGCTTAGATCTAGAGTGTCACCCCCTTTGAAGAGGGGGATGACCGCGGCAGCTTTCCAATCTCTGGGGATCTCAGACGATACGAAAGAGAGGTTGAACAGTCTAGTAATAGGGGTTGCGACAATTTCGGCGGCTAATTTTAGAAAGGGTCCAGATTGTCTAGCCAAGCTGATTTGTAGGGGTCCAGATTTGGGGAAGGCCCTTTCCTGTTTCAGCACGACAATGCCCCCATGCACAAAGCGAGGTCCATACAGAAATGGTTTGTCGAGATCGGTGTAGAAGAACCTGACTGGCCTGCACAGAGCCCTGACCTTAACCCCATCGAACACCTTTGGGATGAACTGGGAAGGCGTTCCACTAGATGTTGGAACATTGCTGCAGGGACTGATGTTGGGCAATTAGACCTGGCTCGCAGTTGCCGTACCAATTATTTAAAAAAAAAAAATTATACACCTGTCAGCAACGGGTGTAGCTGAAATAGCCGAATTCACTAATTTGAAGGGGTGTCCACATACTTTTGTATATATAGTGTATGTCACATATACTGGATATCCTATGTCACAGTCATGAAACAACAAATGGTGGAGAATATTTGTAGTCTATTCTTTTGTCTTTAGGTTAAAAAGAAAGAAACTGTGTACAAAAAATTATTTCAAATGTGAGAGCTTCCTTTTGATTATTTGATAAAAGATGTGGCCAGGCTTACCTTGTTTGTGGTGTAGCTATCCCAAATAATGAGTTTACCATCCTGGGAGGCACTGACTAAAAGCCTATGGGGCAAAAGGAGAGCAATGATTAAACCAGTGACAAAGGAAATCTTAAGAGCACTCATATTATAGGGCACCTGAATGACAGATATCCACACTCCACAAATCCAAACAAAACATGTTAAGTTTGGAACTGTTAATAATAACAGTCATGTCAAGCAGAACACACGCACACACACACATACACACAAATGACTGGTTCCCCTATGAACATATGGTGGAACAATGTTTTGCATTTTAGGGGCGGTGTGGTTTCTAGGGGCCTTTATGGCCGGGGAGCATCTTGCCGCTATCTGGGCGAATCAAATCAGCCCCCGATGCACAGAGGTGGCTGGTTGGGGCACATTGGCTCCCTCTGGACCTGCTCAGCTTTTGCAAATCCTACCTACCCAAGACACACGCTAATTAACACATGCTAAAACACACACACGCCAATACACACACACAACCGTTCAAAAGTTGGGGGTCACTTAGAAATGTCCTTGTTTTCGAAAGAAAAGAAAAAAATGTGTCCATTAAAATAACATCAAATTGATTAGAAATACAGTGTAGACATTGTTAATGTTGTAAATGGCTATTGTAGCTGGAAACGGCTGATTTTTAATGGAATATCTACCTAGGTGTACAGAGGCCCATTATCAGCAACCATCAGTCCTGTGTTCCAATGGCACGTTGTGTTTGCTAATCCAAGTTTTTCATTTTAAAAGGCTAATTGATCATTAGAAAACCCTTTTGCAATTATGTTAGCACAGCTGAAAACTGTTGTGCTGATTAAAGAAGCAATAAAACTGGCCTTCTTGAGACTAGTTGAGTATCTGGAGCATCAGCAATTGTGGGTTCGATTACAGAATCAAAATGGCCAGAAACAATTAACTTTCTTCTGAAACGCGTCAGTCTATTCTTTTTCTGAGAAATGAAGGCTATTCCATGCAAGAAATTGCCAAGAAACTGAAGCTCTCGTACAACGCTGTGTACTACTACCTTCACAGAACCGTGCAAACTGGCTCTAACCAGAATAGAAAGAGGAGTGTGAGGCCCCGGTGCACAACTGAGCAAGAGGACAAATACATTAGAGTGTCTAGTTTGAGAAACAGACGCCCCACAGGTCCTCAACTGGCAGCTTCATTAAATAGTACCCGCAAAACACCAGTCTCAACGTCAACAGTGAAGAGGTGACTCCGGGATGCTGACCTTCTAGGCAGAGTTGCAAAGAAAAAGCCATATCTCAGACTGGCCAATAAAAATAAAATATTAAGATGGCCAAAAGAACACAGACACTGGACAGAAGAAGATTGGAGAAAAAAAAGTGTTATGGACAGACAAATCGAAGTTTGAGGTGTTCGGATCACAAAGAAGAACATTTGTGACGCAGACCAAATGAAAATTTGGTGGAGGCAATGTGATGGTCTGGGGGTGCTTTGGTGGTGGTAAAGTGGGAGATTTGTACAGGGTAAAAGGGATCTTAAGAGATCTTGAAGAAGGAAGGCTATCACGCCATTTTGCAACACCATGCCATACACTGTGGACGGCGCTTGATTGGAGCCAATTTCCTCCTACAACAGGACAATGACCCAAAGCACAGCTCCAAACTATGCAATAACTATTTAGGGAAGAAGCAGTCAGCTGGTAGTCTGTCTATAATGGAGTGGCCAGCACAGTCACCGGATCTCAACCCTATTGAGCTGTTGTGGGAGCCGCTTGACCATATGGTATGTAAGAAGTGCCCATCAAGCCAACCCAACTTGTGGGAGGTGCTTCAGGAAGCATGGGGTGAAATCTATTCAGATTACCTCATCAAATTGACAACTAGAATGCCAAAGGTCTGCAAGGCTGTAATTGCTGCAAATGGAGGATTCTTTAACGAAAGCAAAGTTTGAAGGACACAATTATTATTTATATTAAACATAATTATTTCTAACCTTATCAATGACTACATTTCCTATGCATTTTGCTATATTTCCTAGTCAAACTCATTTCATGTATGTTTTCATGAAAAACAAGGACATTTCTAAGTGACCCCAAACTTTTGAATGGTAGTGCATACACACACACACACACACACACACACACACCACTGTACTCTACAACATCCCCATCATAATAGCAATTCATGGTAACTTTGTAAACAATTCATTTAGACCCAGCGTTTATTTGAAACCAGCATTTATTTACTGAAATCTGAGCTGTTGCCTGGCTATTAAATAAATGGACAGGCAGCTATTTGAGACTCTGCATTTAATTGAAGTTATACGGTGTATAAATGTATTAACACCTATATTGTGGGTGTGGTGGGTGTCAAACTGCAAGATGCTTAAAAAACGGGAAAGCTGCTAGCTTTAGTTCTGACAGTGATTAGACTCACACACTTCCTGTCTCTGTGGTTTGAAATCATGTGCTGTTGGTTGAGGCTGATGAATGATGAAACACAGAGGGATTTCTCTGAGGCAAACACCTTAGGTAACAGTAACACAGCTTTGTGAGCCTCAGGTACACTTGCCTTACAACTCCTGCACACTAAACTGTTGACTGCTTGAAATGGAGTGTCAAAGTAGCACGTTTGGAGAAAAAAAAACAATGGAAATGTCTAAAATAATTAAACCAGGCTCGTGTGGATTTATTTTCGCTTTTGGGAGGGTTGGGAAAAATACACTTTAGTAGAACGTTGACTTTGAACCAAGGTGAGTATGTCACTGTCCACTCTGTTTCACCAGAGAGTGAGTAAGATGCTTAACAGAGGTTGCAGCGCATTATCTGACTTTTCAAACACGCCTGCAATAAAGCAGGAGTGGAATTAATTAACTATCCCTCTTCTGCTAGCTTAGCTCCACTCCATTCACTTGTATTTACTGATTACACATTGGCATTTGGATTATTTCTGCTTTTCCATTAGGCTACCGCACCTCAATGTGAATGGAGGCTTTCCAAGTGACTGTTGAGGCCTTGTTGTGAATGAAAAACAACCGGAGATGGAATCAGAGATGTACCTTGTTGACGGCGTTCGACAAACACTAAATATTGTCTGCTGCGTTGCACAACCCGAAAGGCAGCAGTTAAAACTCACGCTGTCCAAGATAATACTGGTAGTAAGTAACTGGAAATGATGTGGCAGAGATGGATTGGATTGTGGATCTAGTTGAGGGTCATCATTGAGTGGGGTGGGTGAGAGACTGGGACACTCTCTTTAGAAGGCGTTCCTCTTGACTAAGTCTATGGTCTACAAACCTGGGCTCGTATTCATAAACCGTACAGAGTAGGAGTGCTGATTTTGGATCGGTTTAGCCTTTTTAGACATTTACATTTTAGTCATTTAGCAGACGCTTTTATCCAGAGCGACTTACAGTTATTGAGTGCATACATATTTATTTTTTCATACTGGTCCTCCGTGGGAAATGAACCCACAACCCTGGCGTTGCAAACGCCATGCTCTACCGACTGAGCTACAAGGGACTACCAATGAAAATGATTACATACAGTGGCTTGCGAAAGTATTCACCCCCCTTGGCATTTTTCCTATTTTGTTTCATTTACATTTTACATTTACATTTTAGTCATTTAGCAGACGCTCTTATCCAGAGCGACTTACAGGAGCAATTAGGGTTAAGTGCCTTGCTCAAGGGCAGACAGATTTTTCACCTAGTCGGCTTGGGGATTAGAACCAGCGACCTTTCGGTTACTGGCACAATGCTCTTAACCACTAAGCTACCTGCCGCCTTACAACCTGGAATTAAAATGGATTTTTTGGGTGTTTGTATCATTTGATTTACACAACAGGCCTACCACTTTGAAGATGCAAAACATTTATTGTGAAACCAACAAGAAATAAGACCAAAAAAATGAAAACTTGAGCGTGCATAACTATTCACCCCCCCAAAGTCAATACTTTGTAGAGCCACCTTATGCAGCAATTACAGCTGCGAGTCTCTTGGGGTATGTCTCTATAAGCTTGGCACATCTAGCCACTGGGATTTTTGCCCATTCTTCAAGGCAAAAATGCTCTAGCTCCTTCAAGTTGGATAGGCTCCGCTGGTGTACAGCAATCGTTAAGTCATACCACAGATCCTCAATTGGATTGAGGTCTGGGCTTTGACTAAGCCATTCCAAGACATTTAAATGTTTCCCCTTAAACCACTCGTGTTGCTTTAGCAGTATGCTTAGGGTCATTGTCCTGCTGGAAGGTGAACCTCCGTCCCAGTTTCAAATCTCTGGAAGACAAACAGGTTTCCCTCAAGAATTTCCCTGTATTTAGCGCCATCCATCATTCCTTCAATTCTGACCAGTTTCCCAGTCCCTGCCGATGGAAAAACATCCCACAGCATGATGCTGCCACCACCATGCTTCACTGTGGGGGATGGTGTTCTCAGGGTGATGAGAGGTGTTGGGTTTGCGCCAGACATAGCATTTTCCTTGATGGCCAGAAAGCTCAATTTTAGTCTCATCTGACCAGAGTACCTTCTTCCATATGTTTGGGGAGTCTCCCACATGCCTTTAGGCGAACACCAAACGTGTTTGCTTATTTTTTTCTTTAAGCAATGGCTTTTTTCTGGCCACTCTTCCGTAAAGCCCAGCTCTGTGGAGTGTACAGCTTAAAGTGGTCCTGTGGACAGACACTCCAATCTCCGCTGTGGAGCTTTGCAGCTTCTTCAGGGTTATCTTTGGTCTCTTTGTTGCCTCTCTAATTAATGCCCTCCTTGCCTGGTCCGTGAGTTTTGGTGGGCGGCCCTCTCTTGGCAGGTTTGTTGTGGTACCATATTCTTTCCATTTTTTCATAATGGATTTAATGGTGCTCCGTGGGATGTTCAAATTTGGGATATTTTCTTATAACCCAACCCTGATCTGAACTTCTCCACAACTTTGTCCCTGACCTGTTTGGAGAGCTCCTTGGTCTTCATGGTGCCGCTTGCTTGGTGGTGCCCCTTGCTTAGTGGTGTTGCAGACTCTGGGGCCTTTCAGAACAGGTGTATATATACTGAGATCATGTGACAGATAATGTGACACTTAGATTGCACACAGGTGGACTTTATTTAACTAATTATGTGACTTCTGAAGGTAATTGGTTGCACCAGATCTTATTTAGGGGCTTCATAGCAAAGGGGGTGAATACATATGCACGCAGAACCTTTCTGTTATTTATTTTTCTAGAATTTCTTTTAACAAGTTATTTCTTTAATTTCACTTCACCAATTTGTACTATTTTGTGTATGTCCATTACATGAAATCCAAATAAAAATCAAGTTAAATTACTGGTTGTAATGCAACAAAATAGGAAAAACGCCAAGGGGGATGAATGCTTTTGCAAGGCACTGTACAAAGAAAACGATTACATAGACAAGGGGGACCTGATCAGCACTCCCACTGACAAACACATTGGGCACGAATAAGACAGGAAATGTACGCCTTTCCTATGCACTTCTCAGTAGTTGGTATTCAGACTTACCTTTTGCAGGTGCGTAACAGGCTTTGCAGGTGTGGTTACCTTGCGCATGCTGAATAAATGTAATTAAACCTCTGAAAACCCTCCCACTTGCTGGCCAACAACATTTCACTTGGAGTTTGCATTCAATAGGGTTTTCAGTACATGTATCTTAAAGGAAAACTCCACCCAAAAACTATATTTTGGTATTTGTTTCATTAGTCCATTGTTGACATTGTCCAAAAATGTTTTGCTTGTCAGCACTCAAGTTTTCAAGATACTACAGTTGAAGTCGGAAGTTTACATACACTTAGGTTGGAGTCATTAAAACTCGTTTTTCAACCACTCCACACATTTCTTGTTAACAAACTATAGTTTTGGCAAGTCAGTTAGGGCATCTACTTTGTGCATGACACAAGTGATTTTTCCAACAATTGTTTACAGACAGATTATTTCACTTATAATTCACTGTATCACAATTCCAGTGGGTCAGAAGTTTACTTACACTAAGTTGACTGTGCCTTTAAACAGCTTGGAAAATTCCAGAAAATGTCATGGCTTTAGAAGCTTCTGATAGGCTAATTGACATCATTTCAGTCAATTGGAGGTGTACCCGTGGATGTAATTCAAGGACAACCTTCAAACTCCGTGCCTCTTTGCTTGACATCATGGGAAAATGAAAAGAAATCAGCCAAAAATTGTAGACCTCCACAAGTCTGGTTCATCCTTGGGAGCAATTTCCAAACGCCTGAAGGTACCACGTTCATCTGGACAAACAATAGTACGCAAGTATAAACACCATGGGACCACGCAGCCATCATACAGCTCAGGAAGGAGACGCGTTCTGTCTCCTAGAGATGAATGTACTTTGGTGCAATCCCAGAACAACAGCAAAAGGACCTTGTGAAGATGCTGGAGGAAACCGGTAGAAAAGTATCTATATCCACAGTAAAACGAGTCCTATATTGACAACCTGAAAGGCCGCTCAGCAAGGAAGAAGCCACTACTCCAAAACCGCCATAAAAAAGCCAGACTACGGTTTGCGTCTGCACATGGGGACAAAGATCGTACTTTTTAGAGAAATGTCCTCTGGTCTGATTAAACAAAAATAGAACTGTTTGGCCATAATGACTATCGTTATGTTTGGAGGAAAAAGGGGGAGCTTGCAAGCTGAAGAACACCATCCCAACCGTGAAGGACGGGGTTGGCAGCATCATGCTGTGGGGGTGCTTTGCTGCAGGAGGGACTGGTGCACTTCACAAAAGAGATGGCATCATGAGGAAGGAAAATTATGTGGATATATTGAAGCAACATCTCAAGACATCAGTCAGGAAGTTAAAGCTTGGTCGCAAATGGGTCTTCCAAATGGACAATGACCCCAAGCATACTTCCAAAGTTGTGGCAAATTGGCTTAAGGACAACAAAGTCAAGGTATTGGAGTGGCCATCACAAAGCCCTGACCTCAATCCTATAGAAAATGTGTGGGCAGAACTGAAAAAGCGTGTGTGAGCAAGGAGGCCTACAAACCTGACTCAGTTACACCAGCTCTGTCAGGAGGAATGGGCCAAAATTCACCCAACTTATTGTGGGAAGCTTGTGGAAGGCTACCGAAACATTTGACCCAAGTTAAACAATTTAAAGGCAATGCTACCAAATACTAATTGAGTGTATGTAAACTTCTGACACACTGGGAATGTGATGAAATAAATAAAAGCTGAAATAAATCACTCTACTATTATTCTGACATTTCACATTCTTAAAATAAAGTGGTGATCATAACTGACCTAAGACAGGGACATTTTACTAGGATTAAATGTCAAGAATTGTGAAAAACTGAGTTGAAATGTATTTGGCTAAGGTGTATGTAAACTTCCGACTTCAACTGTATATCGTGATATTTAACTTCCAAAATACAGAAATCATCCATGTATGATGCAAAATGCATAATACGGGGATGATTTCTGTATTTTGAAAGTTACATATTACTTCTTACTAGTAATACATTTATTGTTTTAGAAACATTACAAAGCATGCTCATCCGTGTTTTTTTTGTGTTTTGTTGGTATCATTTTAGAGGGGGAAAAATATTTTGCCTGGCAAATTATTATTATGATTTTTTTATCTACCTGCCACTGTGGCTGGTGGACCAAAAAGTACATTTTATGCCCTGCCTAATATGATCCACTATTGTTAGCGACCCTCAGGAACAACTACACGGACGTCACAGAGGAAAGAAAGGTAAACGGAATGGAGACTACAAATTGAAGGAAACTAACACTAAAGTGACAGTTATAAATGTATGTGGGTATTACTGACGGTGGCTCCCGATAGGCCTATTAGTCATGTTGATATGATTTTCAGTTTGCTTCCATATGACTGGTTTCACATTCATCTACAGGGACCATAAGGTAAAATCATCTAAAACAATTGCTATGTGTACTTACAATGCTCTTCTAACAGACTACTTACTTAGCTAGCTCTTATCAATTTATAAATTACAGTGCATGGAGATTCTATCGGAAAAACGAAAGTAGATGTTTTAAATTTGGAACCGCAGGTTCACGCAACCTTATTCATGGTTTTCTCACGCGTAAAGGTGGTAGAACTATTAGGGCATTAAGTCATGGTCAGATTACGGCGTATCTGTAGACACCTCCACCCACAACGAATAGCAGGTGAATAAGCATGCTATTCTCATGCTTAAGTTCAAGGTCAGAATACGCTTAGAGAGAAAAGTGCATAAAAAGGGAATTACACTCCATTCACGCTTAACTCAGGTCCGAATTCCCCCCTTTATGAACTGGGTCAATTAAAGGAGAGCCACCGGGCAGGGGCTATAAACAGCAGAGGGAGGGGGACACACAGACCCTGTGCAGAAATAACACCCAACGCCGGGTCAATACTTCTCTTCATTATGCCATCTCTTTGGAAAGCTGCACTTCGCTACAGGTAGACGAATTAGATTCTTTAACCCCCCCAAAGCAAAGACAATAAACATTAGGGCTGGCACAATTACGTATAACCGACGGTCTGAAAATAAACTAAGTCATAACCGTAAATAAATTATATATATTTTTGTTGTTGTGTGGAACGAACAGCCGACTGAATATGGGACGGCTGGGCATTTGTGCGATTGAGTCAGTTTCGGCCATAAGAAGGACTCTTAACGTGAAGAAACTTTGCTTTGTTGCTCCTTGCTGAAACAAGCAAACAAGTCTTCGGTTGCCTAGGCAATGCCCCTCACAATGCAGCAGCAGCACACAAAACTAGAATGAATAGAACTGGCTTGGAACCTCTAACCCTGGCAATTTGACTGGTAAACTCATGGGTACACTAGCAATGGCTGCCTGGTATTGTGATGCAATAAGTTTCATGGTAAAGTAGAATGTTCATTTCAATGATGTTAACTGATGTGGATCATGCAGTGGAATGTATTTTATGTAATGTCAGTTGAGTTGAATCAACAAATCACAGCACATATTTTACTTCTTGCTTTGCTCCTATGGGTACACTCGCAATGGCCGCCAGTCCAACCATTATGCCACCATTGACTTGAATGAGGATGCCCATTCTATTTCTATGGCAGCACATGCAGTCAGGAGCGGAGGAGAGGAGAAAATGTGCGTACATTTGTATTCGTTTGCTATTCAAACTGTTATTACGGTGAATTACCGTCCTCCTAATACACATGAAATGGAGGGGGTGACGGTGGGGGACTAATTATTCAAATAATTATTCTGTTGCATCATTGTGAACTCACTGGTTCAGAACGGTCTATTCTTTTAATTGGGGTGGAGCGATAAAAATGAATCGGCGCAACAAAGCGAGATGACAAAGCAGTTTGGTTTGGTGAGTGTGGGGTGTGGCGTCTCTGTGGAGTGAAGCGGCACACCTGCGGTAGTGTAATTAGTTGGCTGGTTACCGAGTTGAGAGCTGCTGGACTGGGCTGGGGGCTCCTGGGATGCCCCCCTATGCTCAGGAACACGGGAGTCACCAGCACTGACTGACACTCAGGGAAGAGCAGCCAGCAACACCACTAACAAAGGACGACTCCATTTTGAATGTTTTCCCTACCCGCATATCCCACCCCTTACACACACAAACAATGATACCGGCACACACACAGTACGTACACATGCGACACAAACACATAAGCGTGCCTGTACAGTACGCACACAAAAACACTTGAGTTAACTATTTTCCACAAACACACACCATAACAAAGGTTCTACTCGGGAGATGTTTGTTTTTTGGTGAGGGAGCCATCTTGGAATCTCTTTATACAGGAAAACTGCACAAGACAACTGGGGGGAGGGGGATATTTAATTATTTAGTTAATGACAGAAAGTGGCTAAATAAGATTACCTTGAGTCAGTGCCCCAGTGCATGGCATAGATTTTAGCCAGATGCCCCCTCAGTGTTCGTCTAGTGCGCATCTGAATTCGGCCAATGGGGTCGATGTTTGCTGTGATCTGAAAGGAAGGGGGGGGGGGGAACGATCAATGACCATGACACAATAGGCTGTGTATCTGCATTAGAAATGGGGATGCCCTTTACTTGGTTCTCTTCTGTGAAACCATTGTCTTTCCTTATCAGCTCCCATGATGTTGCATTTATAGAAGTACAGAGAGTGGGTGCTGCTGCTTCCAGGATTTGTTGGCTGGGTGACACAGAGCCTAGCGAGGGCAGCCTCCATTCTAGTGAGCCATCTCTGCTGCTAGTTAAGCACAGCCTTTGAGCTGTGGACTCATTGAACCCCAGTGCATCACTCTCACCTATTCCAGTTTAACCATTACTAAGCTTTGACAACACGTTTAACATGACCTGTCAACTGTATCCTGAATAACGAGGGAGACTTTAAGTGGTTCCCCATCCCTCCCATCCTCGTGTCTGAACTGCACTCTATGGGATCTGTTTGTGTTTCAACTGAGAGTGGTGTAAGGGGTCTTACCTGAGACAGGGTAGCATCCGCACACGCTTTCCTGGCATCCTGGAGGTAACAACAAAAAAAAAAGGTTAATTTCATTTTCACATAAGCTTTTGATAACGTGACAATATCTCAGAATTCCACCTCAATTAATTGAAGCGTTGAGCCAATAGTTTCAGCCATCACGGTGATAATTACCATTCCCACTGACCTGATAAAGACTACCACTTACTTACTTACACTACATTACCATTATTCCTCCTCCACCAAACTTTACAGTTGGCACTATGCATTGGGGCAGGTAGCGTTCTCCTGGCATCTGCCAAACCCAGATTTGTCCGTCAGACTGCCAGATGGTGAAGCGTGATTCATCACGCCAGAGAACGTGTTTCCCCTGCTCCAGAGTCCAATGGCGGCGAGCTTTACACCACTCCAGCCGACGCTTGGCATTGCGCATGGTGATTTCAGGCTTGTGTGCGGCTGCTCGGCCATGGAAACTCATTTTATGAAGCTCCCGACAAACAGTTATTGTGCTGACGTTGCTTCCAAAGGCAGTTTGGAACTCGGTAGTGAGTGTTGCAACCGAGGACAGATGATTTTTAGGCACTCGGCAGTCCCGTTCTGTGAGCTTGTGTGGCCTACCACTTTGCGGTTGAGCCATTGTTGCTCCTAGACTTTAACTTCACAATAACAAAACTTACAGTTGACCGGGGCAGCTCTAGCAGGGCAGAAATGTCATTGCCCTTATGCTTAAAACAAATGCAATATAGACAACAACAATTAAATTAAATACCCATATAAATAGCTATTCATGTTTATTTTCCCCCATTAAAAACACTCTTACATATCTGTCTAGGTTGGAACTGTTGCTGTTAAAATACAATAACTAATTTTTCATTCTGAACTGAAATAAACTGATTGATCACGTCACACAGATGTAAACCAGAAAACACACACACACATACAGTCCTAATGAGAGGTGTGTGGCTGGTTGAAGATTCAACAAGCATGTCTATTCTGGGCTCAGTTTTTGACAGTGCAACCCTGAGTCTGTTTCTGTACTTGTTTTTTAAGTACGCCAGAGTTGAGAACCCTGACTGTGGTGCCAAACTGGATCAGAACATCTACTGCTTTCTCAGCCAGGCAGGAGACCGCTTCCTGCTGTAGATGAGCAAACCAGAACTGTGTGAGTGAATGGGTTTGCCTCAAAAAGCATCTTGCTTCAAATCAGTTTATTCCAGTTCAGAATAAAAATGATTACTTGTATTTTAACAGCAACAGTTCCAACCTAGACTTCACCAATCATTTCTACAGTAAAATGTACAATAGGCCTGATCATTTTACATCTTCATATTTAGTTACTTAGGGTTGCACTCAGTAGCTAGCTAGTTTGCTTTGGCTAACGTTAGCTATCTAGCTATTATAGCTGTGTACAAGCGAATTGTTTGAAAGATAAACTCACATCTACTATGAGAGATAGTACTCCCTTATTTCTGCTCATCATCACCTGTTATAAAATGACAACAATGCCTTGCTAGCTGATTTACTTTTCCACTGTCGAAGCACTGTTTCCTGAAGCATTCTGCCCTGTTCTGAAAGAACTCCCTGGCTTTACCGTCATGCTGTGGATGTTTGGTCACAAAACACATTGTGGGCGCTCCTCTTTATTTCTCTAAGTTTGTATGAAATCAAGAGAGAGAAACTCGTCGCTGTATTTGCGTTTCATGACGATTGAGGTCAGTCAGAAGTAGTGGCTACAACTCCATTTGATGACAGCGGTGAGTGATGACGAGTAGGAATGACAAGTAATTGGCTGACAGCGCATCATCTGCTGCTGAACGACAGCGCTTCAGCGTGTGGGTCGCGGAGTGATCTTCAAGAAAACTGCAGAAAAAATATCTGGTAAACCGCAAAGCACACGGGCATCTGCCAAACTGGCACCGCTGCTGAACAGAGAGAGCAGTTGCACTTGGCCAAATCAATTCCAGTAATTCATGAAATAATTATACATTTACTATAACACATCGTGACCCACCATTAACAGGTCCGTGACCCATACTTTAAGGCTGATCTAGACCACAAGCCAAGGGGTCCAAATGTGTAATTATTGGTGTTTCAATGTTTTATCACAACAAATACTATTGTACCTGCACCAAAACTCCAGTATTCTTCCTTCATAGGTTTTTCTCCATCTTCATTTTAAATAGGAAGCCAATTTGTTTTCAGCACTTTTATTTCCATGAATGATCAAAACTCATCTTCTCATGGCTCTCTTGTCCCTTTGCAGCAGACATAGTGAGCAATATGTTTTGACCATGGAATCACAAAATCACAGTATTGAATCGCAATACATATAGAATCGTAAGAGTCGCTATATATATATATATATATAAATAATCATAATTCACAACTGACAACGTTTTTATCACAAATGAAACATTTCTAGTATCTTGCAGAGAGATTTCACAGCAGATAGCGAGTTACGAGAGAATTGACTGTGACTAAAATAGGTGCAGGAGTACGTTATAGTTTGAAGCATTTTAAAGTGCTAAAATGTAAAACGCAATGTTCAACTGAGAACAATGTTTTTATTAAGACTTTCGGTACAGCTTCGTGAATTGTAGTTCCCTCTAGTGGCGCCATGTAAAATCCCAATGCATTTATGAGAAGAAAGCAGGGAGAGGACGATTGTGGAGGACTTACTCTGATCTGGTTCTTGAGCTGCTCGGCCTCCTGGCGTAGCTGGTCCAGTTCGCTCATTTTCTTCTGCTAATGGTGTGCCTCGCTCCGCCGCCGGGACTCGTGCTGATCTGAGGGATGAGAAAGAGGAGGGACAAGCTCAACACCCTGGTCACACACAGTTTCTCAAATTGGCAATTAGCGGTACTCACCAGACCAGGGTTCAAACTGTATTTGAAATCTGATGAAGTCCTAAAAAGTACAAACCCAGCCCAATTGCCAATCTGGCACGACAGGCAAACTCAAGCAAACGCTCGCTGAACCCAGGTCTGGTACACACAGGCATCTCAATAAACAGCTGTTACAGGGGCCCTAACAAGGCCATCAGCTCAAAGTGATGGTCTAAATCCCTGAGACAGGCTCAATATGCTTGAGACAAATTATTGAAACAGCAAGGACAAGCTCAGGGCAACTAGGGTTGAATGTTTCAGAGACCGAGACCATGTTATGGTAAGCTGCTATTTCAAAATGGTAGCCTTTAGATTTTCAAGCTAATACCTTTGTGCCGTGAAAGATAGGAGAAACTGAAGCGGTGTTGTATCACATTTATGTAACATCCAAAAAAGTAACTGCTGAGAAGAAATTGTTCACCATTTTGGCTTTTGGACTCAGCATACACTCTTCAGTAAAATACACAGCAAAGCAAATTCCCTCTCAGAATCACACAACATCCCTCCGAAAGATCCATAAGGCACACACAAGTCACAGAATCCCAACCCTTTCTAGAGAAACCAAGATGTGTCCTTGCCAGCCTGAAACGGTTACCTAGCAACATGATTCTGCAGCTAGTTTGTGCAACAGATCTTTTTTATTTTGCAGAATCTATCTCCCCCCCATCTCTCTATACACTGGCCAACCCAAGGCAAACATCTGGCACTTGGCGGCCGGTAGCCATTCCTGGACAACTGAGGCTAAATTAAAATCCATTGGCGGAAATCCATTCAGTCTGCGAAACCCTTGAGAACATACCCCTCCTTGGCTTGCCGAACGGAGAGAGGGCTGGAGCGTGAAACGAGAGGAGCCGGGTTGGTTCTGTGAGTTACTTCTAGCCCAGAGGTGCTCAGGTGAGAAGGGCAGGCACTAGTGCTGTTCTCAGATGCTCTGGCCCTGGTCAGTGGGCTCAGAACTCTCCTCCCAATGTCATCCCTGTAATCCTGGAACACAGTTGATTCAGCTCCTCCATCCAAATCCGGTTAAGACAAAAACCTGCTGATGATCCTAAAAGCAGTGGCTATCCCGCTGACCCCAATCCTTTGGTCAACGGGCTTATTCCTGACACATTCTCTGGAGAAAGAACAGGAAATACAAACAAACACACAAGTATAGGCTACTTAGTGTAGTGATAAATGCTACAGTACAAGTTGAAAGTTCTGCATATTGACTATCTGGGTTGAAGATCATTATTGGCTGATGGAGACTGCTAAGCGCTACCACTGAGCACTTTGCAACAATGCTCATCTTACATTTCTACCAACCGGTTCACAAAAATAAAGAGCCCATTGTCATCATCAACCAGTTGCCATTGGTTTTTACAAGACAAATGGCTTTATTTTGTGTTAGTACATTAACAGGCTTCCAGCTTTACGATTCATAGGATTGACTAAGATATGTGTAAAGGAATTCAGCCAATGAGGAAATTGCTGACCATCTTCAATTTACGTAGGTAATACAAATAAAGCAGAGCATTTCTTAGAACTTTTGTGCCAACCATTACATCCACCTTTGTCATTACCAAAACACAGTTAAAGAAACACTAATATCCACATTTCTGAATTGTATGTAGACCAGGGGTACTCAAATACTATTTGAGAAGGTCCAGTCACAAACTTCCTAGGTGGCCAAGGTCCAGATAGATATTTTAATTCATCTGCGTAATAACAAACCCTCACCATGCAACACCAAACTGTATTGACCCCATTCTAGGTCCACATCTGGCTGATGTAGACGATCACAGTTTTGCAAAAAATAAATAAACCATCCTGTCTGGATTTTCCTTACCTCCCTATCGCCCTCTGTCTTTTCTGTATGGGTCGTCCTTAGAGCTTGGAGACCTTCTGAATGACAAGACCTTATCCTTCAAACACCTGACCCATCTCAGCAGCTACATGCCACCTGATTGGCCCGTGGGGCTAACTAGGTCTGATTCTAAGCAATGCGACTTACCCCCCATAATCTTGTTGATAAAAATGTGTCACGGTAATATCTCTAATTCTCCTAGTCTTTTCCCTGACGAGAGCCCTGGTGTCAGAGCCAGTTAGCAGGACCTGCGCGTGGCCTTTTCACAGAACCAAAGCTGTACAGACACGGGCCTCCATCCTCTCCATAAAAACCTGTCGCTATTTTAACTAAATACACTTACAAGAAAAAGGTGGAAGTGAGTAGTAGGGTCTACTGTGAGTATTCGAAACTACAGGACGCCTTGAATAGGCTTAGGGATGTCTAGGCTGTATTAATTGGACCATATTGGATGCTGGTGGTCGAAATAGGTTTGTAAATCCCGTTACAATAGTCTGTTACATGCAAACAAAGGGGCACTAATATTCAAATTGAGATGGAATAAGTACCAACCAAATTGGTCATACAGATGGAAATTAATCCAACTATGGTGACAGAAATATGAGTGGGGGGGGGGGGGCTCTGTAAATGTTAGCAGAAGTGGGATTTGGGGAGCGGCTGGGTGAGTATACCTTGGTGATGTAAGTGTGATATTTCTTTGTGGGGGAGCTCTATGATGGTGGCCGAAGTGTAATTCAGAGTAGGGTTGGGCGGTATCCAGATTTTCATACAGTCATACCGTTTCTGTACCATACAGTATCACCAAATTACTTTTATTTTTACGCACAAAACAATTTAGGCAACAGGGATATTGATCCGTTAGGGGATTGAATGTCTCTGCTGTAACCAAGAATCTTGACATCTAGCCACTTAAGCTAGCAAACGAAATGCATAGCTGGAGCCCTGAGCTATACACACTTTATTTGACATCTCAGATTTCTTATAGTTATACTTAACTTATAGTTAGTTATAAGCAGTGGCATAGCACGGACCACCTCAGCCCCCACGAGGCGGGTGTGCCCCCAACACCAAAATAATACATTATTATATTCGGTATTAAAAATCATACCATAGGTATTTCAAAATACCCTGGTATATGGTATAATTGGTATATCGCCCAAGCGTAATTCAGAGGGCCATTTTCTGTTCTGGTGGTGGGAGTGTGTTGAAACCGCTGGCAGCCCCACTGATAGTGCGTCTCTACACTGCTGCCTTCTCTCTCAGCCGGCTATTTTTAGAGAGGTGGAGGACGAGGGAAGCAGACTTCACATTTTCCAGCCAGTCCTATCGGTTCCATCATCTCAAGCACAACGCAGTGACAAGGGGAGAGGGAAGTGAAATTAGACTCGGCACCAGAGCTTTAAAGGCATTTCTTCTTCCTATAAAGCAAAATCAGCATTTAGTACTGTATCAAGCCCTGACTTCACATTGTACAGCCATTTGACATAGGGAAGCCTAAAAACCTCAGAAACCGCTGAGGAATGTCTTCATTTTCAGAAGCATCAAGTGGCAATTAATTACTTCCCATAGTATAACAGCTATAGATTTGATCAGAGTAAAAGTGGATAAGATCGACATTACTAGGCCACCTTTTCAATAACATTATTGGTTCAGAGACAAAGCAGTCAAATGAATTGCTTCTTTCAGAACCCAATTCCTCCTACCCCCGATGTACGTAAACGTTATTCATATCAACAATACCATTAAAACAGACCTGACTTATTCAAAAAAGGCAACTAACGAATCAGAAGTTGTACACATGAACAGTTGGAAGGTAACAGGGCAGCAGGTACCATTGGGCCAGTAAACAAAAGGTCGCTGGTTCGAATCCCCCGAGCTGACTAGGTAAAAAATCTGTCGATGTGCCCTTGAGCAAGGCACATAACCCTTAATGCTCCTGTAAGTCACTCTGGATAAGAGTGTCTGCTAAAATTACGTAAATGTAAAAACAGGTAGGCGGGACTCAACATGAATTCACGTGGGAGGTTGGTGGGCTATTGTGGTGTATACCGTAGAGGTAAGCTCCTCCCACGGCATGAGGTAGAGGACAGAGGCAGGCTGGGCGGGTAGGCAGGGAGATGTTCTAGTGCACAGGAGGATACAGGAAAGGGAGGCAAAGGACAGAGACAGATTAGCCTAATTAGAGTGAACAAGCAGAGGACGATTGGGAGGAGAACTGCTAATTAACCCCTTGGTGAAGGGGAACCGGGTGTGGTAACCTTTACGGCATTAAGAGCCCAGTGGAGCAGACGCACACACCCAGTCACCTTGCTGCTGCTGGGAGCCTCTTAAGTTAGCAGCCTGAGAGATCGGTGCTACTACACACTAGCCACACACTGTGGCTATTCACATAACCCAAAACCAACCATGAAATACTCAGTTTGCCTTGTGGTCATTGACTCCAAAGTTTATCTTGGCATCTATCATTTATTACAGACTACAGACCGAGAGTCAACCAAGTGCTCATAAAAAAGTTGAGCGGACTTGGCCAATGATTTCTATGGGCTGATGATCATTTCAGTGAATTTCAATTTCAGGTTTTGAAAGCTTTGTGTCCACCTGATATGGATCAATTCAAGAAGGGGCTGTCGAAATATAACTTTTTTTGTTGAGTTAATCGCATGGTTCTCTAATTAATTACGATTAATTGCAATTTTATAAATTGGGTTGTAGTTCATGTATTTTTATAGTAGGGGAATGAAAAACAAAAACTGTATTCTAAGAAAATAACCAAATTAGCCAGGTCTGATATAAAAGGTCTGATGTCAAATATCATAGCTACAACTATTAGATCTAGCCTAGGCTACTTCTTATGCATGTTTCTCAACATAAACTAATCACAAGCTGCTACTGTACTAGAATTGGTTCTGTTCTGATTAAAATCATTGTAGGAAATGTTTGCTGAATCTAGACATTCTGCCATAGCACTCTAAAACATTCTTGTTTGGTTAGCTAGCTAACATTAG